TTTTCATTTTAATAATGTTATTCGCTACTTATTTATTTTCAGTTTTTTGTTTTGGCTGAATTGAAAAAATCTTCATATACAATATTTGTTGTACAATTTATTTCATAGGCTAATGCAATAACACCTTTGGCTTTTACTTTGGTTAATATAAGTTGCATTATGTTGTTTTCATAATTCCTAAAATATTTCAATATGTCCAAAAATTAATCGATTTCATTATTTGTAGTAATAGTAAACATACTACATAAAGTCGTATAATAAATATTAGATTTAAGTCAAATTTTCCTATTTCATAACAAATTTTCACTGGATATGTTATAAACGAGGACAGATCTGCCTCTATCGACTTTATAATGATGTCAATCATCGTAATAATCAATAATTGAATAAAATTGACATCTGCAGCTATTTTCTATAATAGAAGTAAAAAATGGTCAATAATTGAATAATATTACGGAAGAGAATAGAACAGGCTCGGCTCTTGATTGATATTTATTTTTGAGAGCGAAGTATTAAAATTGGAAAAAACTCAGTAGATTTTTTTTTCAAATCATTTTAAAAAATATTGAATACTTATCTACACAGAAATGATATATTTTAGAAGATTTAGTTAAAAAATGCAATTTCAAATGCATATCTAAACAACTATTTTTTTGTAACTTATTTAATAAAGTGTAGTTATTTTGAACAACTTCTGGGTCTTTTGGCGAACATTCTGATATAAATCAAGAATATTTGATCATTAAGTAAATATATATGTATGTAATTTGATTTGTGTTTTTCTAATCAAATTTACACATAAAACCTAACCTTCAAAAGGCACAAATGTCAAATAACAATTATATCAAAAGTGCAACTTTCTGGTCTTTTTGATAACACATAAGTAAGGTCTAACCAAAGTAAATATTTGGACGTTTTTGCAATTTGGAGGTTAGGTTTTATGTGTGAAACATTTAGTCGAACAGCAAAGACATAGCGTTTTGACAGCTTGTGACTACTAACTCATACGATTATAGACCCATAACATAGAATTTTTATATTATCCTAGAATTGGTCCCATAGTTTTATTTATACTTTGAAACTAAGTTTTTTAATTCTCTAGGCATCAATAAAAAATTATAAATATATAGATTGATTTTAAATATAAACTAGTGGTGTATGGCATAGTGCCTTAAGGCAAATTACTGGAACTTCCAGTACCGTAACGAAATATTCGAGAAATATTTAATGTTTTCAAATAGATTATTATCAATACTGTAACTTTCATAACTCTAATTTTATAGACAGAATATAAGAGTTTATAAATTTGACGACGACGTTTATATATGTTTACAGAAAAGCAAATTAACAAAACTTAATATTATTCAAAATTATTTATTTATTTATTTATTTACTAATACTAATACTAATACTAATATTTTTTTAAAAAATTAAAAAAAATTAAAATTTTAAATTCTGTAATACTTTTTTTCTTTTTCCGGTAGCAATTTTTTCGCAAACATAAGCAGAAAGTTTTAGGAATCATGTAAATCGCATATTTAATGCTCTCAAAAACTGCAATTTTTTGCACGGTAAGCTCCACATTTCCGAAACAGCTGTACCTATCTTTGCTAAAAACTATTCACCACTTCTTCACATAATTACTTTTATTTTCTGCACTCTTTGCTACGTATCTCGGAAACGGTTGGACCTGCCCCTGCCAAAAACTAATCAGCACATCTCCCTATCAATAGGATTCGAATGTTTTTGAATCACTCAAATCGGTTGATACGTGCGTCCGAAAACGTGGATAGAAAATTGTATCCATACATACACACACACATCCATTTTTTCCGAGGTATGCCAAAATATTCAGAACCTTCAAAGCGTGAAGATATGCAAAAATTTTCAATTTCGATTGGATATGGGGAGTTAATAAGGTATATAGGGAAATGACTAATTTTATGCCATTTAGATATTATTTTTAAAGAGTCTATGAAATCCGTATCTGCCAGTAAAGAGTCGAATTATCCTATTAAATTTCCTACTTTAAATTTTTACATTGAACTTCAGTTTGGAATTACATAATGAATGCAAAATCTTAGTTCGTCCACTATGTGTTCTTCCAGTGGAAAATACTACGTGAATGATCGTGAGTGATATATTTATATTTTTTATAATATTTATAATTAAGATAGTGTTAAATTATTAATTTAAATTTATGATCGTAAGATTATTATTAATAATTGTTGATATTTGTGTTTTATAAATAGGGGTAAGTGTAAAACGAACATTTGTTAACTCTAGGTGTATATGACTTAAGGCACTAATAACCCGAAAAGTGCAAATGATTAACTTAAACAATAGGAATTGAGTTATAGATACTTTTAAAATTATAACGATAAAACTGTTAAGTGTTTATGTCGAAAGTTTTCAATGAAAATTAATCAAATTTACAATTGTTATCATTATAATATCTGTAATTATACTAATTTAATTAAATTTAGTTTACGTATTACATTTTAGGTCGTATTCTAAAAATGTATTTCAGTTAAGTGTAGACGTCAACGGTGATCAGTATAAAATACAGAACAAAATATACACATTGCGTGTCCTAAGGGTGCGGCACATTATACAAAAGATTAATACATTTTTATATACCACTTTTCGTAGACCTATAATATTTTAGGATATTTTTAAGCCCTAAGATGTAGACCTATATTAGTTTAGGATTTTGTAAAACCATTATGTCTATCTCTAGACAAAGTCGTGTCGAAATCGTAAAAAAATAAATACACAGTGAATTAGAAAATACATACTGTTTACAATTTTGATGACAAACGATTCAGAATGACTAAAAACACAATGAAGCATACACTGTGCATTTCCTTAGAGTGCTCACATTATTCGAAACTTTATTGCATTTTTATAATTAAATCACTTTTCTTATGCCTATAATATTTTAGGATGTTAGTAAAAACATGTGGTCTATTATCTCTAGACAAAGTTTCGTTGAAATCATAAAATAATTAGTTACACAATTAAATACAAAAATATATGTTTTTTTATAACTTTGATGACATACGATTCAGAATGACTAAACACATATAACAAGATATAGACGGTGCATGCCTTTAGGGTGCGACACATTATTCCAAAGTTAAATGCAATTTTATAATTAAACTACTTTTCGTAGGCCTATAATATTTTAGGAAGTTCCTCAGGACTATGAAATCAACATCTAGACAAAGTTTCATTGAAATCGTAAAAAATACACAATTAAATACAAAAATATATGTTTTTGAACTTGTGTGTAGTGACAACGATTCAGAATGACTTGTTACTTCGGAAAACCAAAATTAATAAGTTGCATTTTTTAGCAAAAACAAACTTCTCTAAATAATTTTTAAAGAATATTTTAGTTAAACCCAATTTATAATATTAATATGGGCGGACTCGTGTGGACGTGGTCGTGAGCTCGATTCCCGCTCTAGGCAATCCTACTTCGGACAGCAGCGATGTCCATTTTCACTTGAACATATAGATAAAAAATATGTTTTCAATTGAAAATAAGCCGATTTCGCGCACTGCGGAGTAAAATGGCAATGGAAAATCTCTCACACTATTCTTTCAAGAATCGAGTTGAAGTTTTATGTGTATGTTACCTTTTAGATAAATGTTTTGCCAAATAAAAAAAAATGAAACTAGTGGTGCATGGCATCGTAGCTTAAGGCAAATTGCTAGAACTTCCTGTACCAAAAACTAAAAATTTTTAGGAAAACATTATTTTTTGAAAACTTTGAAAAAATGAGATTTTTGAGAATATTGAATTTTTTGAAAAAAATTGACTTTCTTGAAAAATTTAATTTTTTTTGCATTCGAAATTTTTTTATACTTTGAATTTTTTTAAAAAACTTTTTTTCGAAGTAATCGTGCTGCTTTGCCTTTCCTGTTTCAGAATGGAAATATAGAAGCGCGTAAGCGCCGCGTCACAGTCTAACGGATAAACATTGGTACGGAACCCATAAAAATGTAAACAAAATTTGTTCTTATTATTAAAATATCTATAAAATAACATATAATTTGATATGCATATGTCTAACGATCATTTTTGTCCGCCAAATGGCATTTTTTTACTTTTTTCATTAGATATCCGAAACCCGTTAGACCTGTCTTCCCAAAAATATCGTCGGTTTTCATTTTGTCAATACAAATAAAATGTTTTTTGAATCCTTAAAATCGGACGCTCCGTTATCTCAAAAATTGATTTATTAATTTTTGGGACTTTTTGCCCTGTATCTTCGAAACGGCCAGACCTGCCTTTGCCAAAAAGTAATCAGTACGTCTCCTTATCAATACGAATCGAATGTTTTATGAACTATTCAAATCTGTCGATCCGTGTTCCTAAAATCGTCGACAAAAATTTGTATCCGCACGCACACACACACACACACATGTATCCATTTTTTCTAAAGTATGTCAAAATATTCAAAAACCTTTGAAACGTAAAGATATATACAAATTTTCATTTTGGATTTTTTTGCAATTACTATAACTGCCCTACGGAAAGTTAAAAATATTAATTTTTCTTGCATTTTTTTATTTTTTTTTATTTGGCAGAACATTTCATTCATAAGAGTGCAGTTTTAAAATGTTTGCACAAAATTAACTAATTTTTAACAAATAAAGATATTAGAGATAAAAATTTTGGATATCTAATGTCAGTAGTTTCAATAAATCAATTTTATTATATCAATATTTAAAACAGATTTAATATTATATTACGCAATGATTTATTTTACAACACATTTTGGTAACAAAACTGACAAATATTAGACCTTTTCAATTTGATTACCACATCAGGCTATATAAACCAAACATTTATCGATGGGTATAAATAAAATTAATTACTTTTACAACAAGCGTTGTTGATGTTTGAACAACTACAAGCGATTTGAAAAACTTAGTACAATAAATATTTTTATAAAGAATACGATTTTATCATTTACAACAAAAAAAAATCAGTCCTGTATCGGCATAAACCTGGTAGACATCATCGCGCATGATGACCCATCAGCTTGGACACCTAAGACAACGTAATTTCTGGACATAAACCAAAACAGCAACATGTCCAGGAATTGAAGACCAGCAAATAAGAAAAATTCGTGGGCCTTTAAAATTATAATAAATAATAAATTACGTTTGAGAAAAAATCAGAATAAATAATGCCATATAATTACAATTATATAGCATAATTTGATGATGTTTATTGATTTACTTTTATTAGGGGGGTATTTTGGTCTAGAGACTTGAATTTTATGAGATTTTTAAAGACCATGAGAAAAAGGAGAATAATATTTTACTAGGATTTAAAAGAATTTTAAGAATTTAGGGGAAAAAATTAAAAATAGTCAAAAAGTGTTAATTGAGAAGGTGATGAAGTGGGTGGTCGCAAAAAATTGGCAGTCGACCATACTCATGATTTCAGCTCTCCAAATAATCTGAAGATAAGAATATATATTTACTATTAAGGAGGCGTCTATTATTCACGTGGTCGATTTTTAAGGATTTTTGGTTTGTCATTTTTTGTATTGCATCTCATATATATGAGATAAGTTAATAATATTAATTCACTTTGCAATTTGGGTTTTAGATTTGGGTTGCGTTTCTTGTAACTACAACGCAACGTGAGGTATGGGTATATATCTGGGCGGCTCGATTTGTATGGGCAAAAAAAGTCGCACAGGCACATATGATTTTTGGATACTAGATATCAAAATAAGATACTTTGCTATAGCAATCATATCTCTAAAATGAATACTGATGTCCCGTGCATTGACCCAAAGATTGGGTCAAATTTTGAAAAATCCTGTTCTGGCTCATTTAAAGCGCCTCAATAGTGTCCAAATGTATGACCGACCCCCAGTAACTTTGGAAGACCGATCTACCCACGCCCATGGTTCACCCCCTGAGACCTCCCCTTAGGGGTCCATCATATAAAAATTGCATCATTTGTGGTACTTCAACATGACAAAAATCAGCGATTTATTTTTGTTATAAAATTTATTTAATCATAACATATGTAAATAAAACTATATAAAACTTATAAATTATTGCTTGTAGTCTTTTTTAGTTTCAAATCTAGAAAATTTCGCACGGCTCCTTTGATGTATGAATTATTATCTGAAAAAAATGGTTTTGATAAAAACATTTTTTGCTGAGTAAAATACCAAAAACCATTATTTTTTGCAATAATTGTATGGGGGACCTCTAAGGGTGGTCCCAGGGGGTACACCATGAACACGGTTGGATCGGCCTTTCCATGTTAGTGAGGTCGTTCTTACATTTGGACGCAATTGGGGCTCTCTAAATGGGTTAAAACAGAATTTTTCAAAATTCAACCTCTATCTTTGGATCAATGAACGGGAGATCAGAATTCATTTTAGAAGTATAGTTTCTTCAGCAACGTATCTTATTTTGATCCCTAATATCCGAAAATCATATCGACCCGTCCTAGTATATATAAATAAAAATAAACTCACCTGACTCGAGAACATATTCATTTTGGTTATACAAATCGTTAACAAATTACCGGCAGCTACACAGAGATACCAAGCACCTAGAGTTATAGTTTTCATTGATTTGGGAGCCTAAAATTTTATTACCAAAAATCAAAACATTGTATGGTATAAAAAACAGATAGGTTACTTAATTAGTTTTTAACCTGAGTGAAGCTAAATTCCAACCCCGAAATCGCAAACAAAACTTCAGCCAAACTAAGGAGAAAATACTGTGGAAGTATCCACAGTATATGGACATTACTGGCAGGTGTGGCTGCCTGCAGCATATTGAAATCTATTTCTCCCTTATCTGTTTCTCTCAATATTAAAGAATATACTGCTCCCATTTCCAGTCGCATGTCGAATTCCTGTGAAGCATATTGTACCATTACTCCTGATGATAGATGATTAGTGGTCAATCGGTAATGGTAGCTAGAAAAAAGTTGATGGGTTAAACTATTGCTTTTGCATTTTATAAAAGGAAAATGATCAAGAAATTTTATTTTAACACAAGAAAATAAATGATATACCAAAGTATCTACTTACAAACCAGAACGCAATTCTGTGTACCCAGACACCTTTAATCCTGGCGATATATGACTTGAAGAAAAACTAATTTTTCCCCCATTTGTATCTACAATGTCTAAAGTCATATTCACAAGTTTTGAAGAAGTAACTAAAACTTCAATCCTAAAAGCACAAACATAATCACTTTTTCAAATAACTTGCAATGTGTCTTTATTTTTTACCTTAATTTAGATTTTCCTGATAAGGCTTTATCGATTTCCAAAGGCTGTGTTAGTTTTAAAGCAAGTCCATTATCTTCGGTTACGCCAACTAATAACGTGCGCACCTAAAACGTAAAATGATTAATTTTTTGGTCACTTTTCAACTATCTGAAGAAGTCTATGGAAAATCCGAAGATTCAAGTCATTCCAACTCGTTTGAGAAAAAATGTGAAAAAAGTATGTATATCTGAACTAATATTTGACTATTCGTCAAAACTGCACTGATTTCAAAATTTTAAAAGGCACGTAGGTTCGTTTTGCGCAGTCGAGCCGTTTGTTTAGAATTAATAGAAAAGTGCAAAACTTTCCGTCTACGTTTTAGGCAAATGTAAATCAAAATTTTTATATATCTTTACGTTTCCGAGGTTTCTGAACATTTTGACATACCTTAGAAAAAATTGATGCATTTGTGTGTGTGCGTGTGCGTGTAAGTGCTTGTGTGTGTATATGTGTGCGTGTGTGCGGATACAAATTTTCGTGGACGATTTGGGAAACACGGATCAACCGATTTAAAATAATTAAAGAACATTTGATTCGTATTGATAAGGAGACATGCTGATTAGTTTTTGGCAAAGGCAAGTTCAGCCGTTTCGAAGATACAGAGCAAAAAGTGCCGCAAACGGTAATTCAATTGTTGAGAGAACCGAGTGTCTAATTTGAATGATTCATAAAAACGTTTTATTTGTATTGACGAAATAAAGAACTGAGAAAACTTTTGGGATAGTAGGTCTAGCGGTTTCGGAGATTCAATAAAAAGTAAAAAAATGCCATTTAACAGACAAAAATGATCATTAGACATATGCACATCAAATTATCACATATTTTATAAATATTTTACTATTTATAGAAATTTATGGACGGATTCTGCCGCACAACAGACAAATGTTATGGCAAGGCCATGTTACGCTCCAACTTCCATACAATATGTTATTGAATCATACTCAATCATACTGTCAAAATGTCCATGTATTTGCTGTGCATTCAAGCGTTTTACACATAAACTGCAACGTCACTCGTATGTTATGAAGCTGAGTCAGAAAGACCCTGTTATCTAAGATTGTTTTTTTGACATTTGTGCAGGTTTTAGGTCAGGTTTTCTATCTGACAACCTGATGAAATCGCCTGACTGCACAACAACCACATGGCTTTTGTCAATATTCATAACGAATTTGTACGGAAAGTTCTTCCTAACATAGCTTTGCCATATCATTGGTCTGTTATGGGGCAGAATCGGTCCCTCATTAATGTTTTGAATGATAAACAGTTGATTATTAGATTATTTCCATATTTTCGATACATCCATGCAACTTTCCTTAAGAAAATATGGCACTTACACCTATTTATTATTTACCTGCCGTTCGGTTAAATTGACTTTCAAATGAGTGCCCGGTTGATCTAGCTCTATTTCATCACATAGCATTGGTGCAAAAGCCAAAACCTCGTATACTTCCCAAGGATTAGCTGGTAAATTGTTAAATTCTCTACGAGCACCTATAAATTATAATAAAACATAAAAATATATGGTTAGCATTATCCATTATAATTTAATTGGTCTTACCGGCATCTAATCGTATAGTGTCTTCTAATCCTATAATTTCACATGGGCATGGCAAGGTGTTCACGACATACAGACGTGCTTCTCCTGGTAGAGGTACTTGTGGATACGTGGACTATCAACAAAAAATTAAGGGAAAAAAATATAAATATATGATAATATGCAAATATTCTTTTAAGCCGTTTTAATAAAATAAGATATTTAATAACGGCAAATATATGTTACCATCTGTTTGAAAAATTTCGAACTAAATTATTCAAAAATTCAAACTATTGCACAGACACATTATTAAATGCTATACTATACTGTAAATAAATAAACTGGTGGTGCATGGCATCGTGCCTTGAGGAAAATTGTTGGAACTTCCCGTACCGAAAAAAAATCGATTTTTGAGATTTTTAAATTTTTTAAAAAAATTGTCATTTTCCTCTGTTCTCTCAAAAAATCATTTACCATTTTTGGCACTTTTTGCCCCATATCTTCGAAACGGCCAGACCTGCCTTTGCCAAAAACTAATCAGCATGTCTTCTTATCAATACGAATCGAATGTTTGTTGAATTAGTGAAATCGGTTGATCCGTGTTCCCAAAATCGTCAATGAAAATTTGTATCCGCACATATACACACGCACACACACACATACATCCATTTTTTCTAAGGTATGCCAAAATAAAACTTGGGATACTCATGAATTAATATAGTTACATCTTATTGATTAAGTCAATTATTTACATAAGTTGGAAAGTTCATGGAACTTGCCTTAAGGCGAAATTCCACTTACACATAGTTAAATTTTCATTCATTACAAATATGGAATAATTGTATTTAAAAACGATAAACATGTGTTCCATCTGTTTGAAAATTTATGAACTAACATTATAACTATTTCACGAACACATAATTGAATGCAATTATTATACAGAAAAACCCGTTTAAGACGATTTTTTGTGGCCTTACTATCAACAAAAAAAGTCTTCCTAACATTATGTTTTCTCGATGTTTCAAACCATCCTGAATCGTTGAAACCAAATTTAGAAAAAGTATATGTACCAATTTTTTACTATTCGTCGACGTTTCCTGAAAAACGGCTGCACCGATTTCAATCATTTAAAATGTAGCTCGATAGAAACTCGTTTATCAGTTTTGCATGCGCTCGTTCCAGTCCATTCGAGCCGTTTCTTTGTAATTAGCAGAAAAGAGTATAATTTTGCGACCACATTTTAGTCAAAAATTCTGAATCAATTTCTGAATTTCATAAACCGTTCGAATGACATTGATTAGATCGTGCTGATAAGTTTTTGGTAAAAATCGGACGGGTTTTACTGTAATTAACTATCATTACTATTACCTGCAACCGCATCTCTAAAAGACCCGAAGCAACAAAAGCCAAACCAGCAACAAGACCACCAAGCAGCATTCTCTTCAAAGGATTTGGATTAAATCCACTCTTTATGAATAAATGATATATTTGTTCCAAAATTGGTATCAGTAATAAAGCAAGAAAAGGATTGGCTACTTGGGTTTGATCTGGTTGTATCTGGACGCCAAAAATGTTTCCATTCATTCGTGAAGCCTATAAAGAAAATAGTAATATAAAGAAAATTAAGCGTTATGCCTTAAATCGTTAACTGTGATTGATAAATATAATTGCCAAAAAACAATGTTAGATTGCTTATATTAATACCAATTCAAAACGAGTTAAAATATTTGGCGCCTAACAGCTTTGTGTTTTTTATTCGGCTCTGTGAAGTTATAAAGCGTTTTGGGTCTGAATTTTTTTTACTGTGCTCCAATTTGCATGAAATTTTGGAATTAGGTTCATCTTACCCTTAAGTTCAAAAGTGAAAACAATTTGGACTCTGCCACTACCCTGTGTAACTTTCATTTTTCAAAACAATTTCGAATATCGATAGAACTAACTTAATATAAAAAAAAAAAATTATATAGTTTTTCAAAAAAACAAATACTTATCAAGTTACTGGCCACTAAATATTTGTTCTTTTCGTACTTTTTTCTCGTATTTTGCAAATATCTCCAAAAATACACATTTTAACGAAAATTATGTAATGAACCAAAAAATGTCAATCAAAATCTTAATAAATCGGTGTTTTAATCTGTGATTTGTATGCGAATTATTTTCACTTTTGATCTTAAGGGTAAGATTAGCCTAATTCCAAAATTTCATGCAAATTGAAGCACAGTAAAAAAAATCAGTGGTTACACCCTATTTTTCTCTCCATTTACTGCACTAATATATTTAATAATATACACTTCAATAGAAATAAACAGATAAACTTTCCATTCAGGTAATATTTTTCATTTTAAATTTACTAACAGTGAACTTTATATCTGATAATAAATTAGGTCTTATCGATATAACAGTACATTTCCATTGAAAATAAATAAGTTTCGATATGATAACACTAAAACTACTTTAAGTTTAGACTTTTCAACATATTTTCTCAATAAATAAAACAAATTTTATAGTTTTGACCGAAACGTTCAAATAATCAAATGTAGGACTTCTATAACCGGATAATAATAAAAATACTTTGCCTGAAATGTCCATCTGCTTCCTTGTTGGTCAAAAAGTGCCCAAAATATTGGGAGTGGCAGATAAAGATATAACACTTTCAGTAACACTTTACCGTCATCTATTAAACTTTGATTGAACTCACTACGACCTCTGTCTAAAAAATGTCTTCGAATAGTTGTAGGATTTTCTTCTTGAATATTTCTGTTCCTCAAAGCAAACTGAAAAAGATGATTAATAAAGAATAAAATTCCTAAATTTATAACTGTGTACGAATATGTTTTACTATAATCAACTTGAAAAAGTGTAAGATCTCTTTTGTCCTAGGCGTCTTTCGTCTATACCAAAATTTCCCCATTACAAAAACTCCTGAAAGATAAATTTATATTTAAAATATTTTTCAATTAAAATCGTAATAAATAAAAATAGTTACTATTACAAACCAAATGACATCATCATCAAAGACGCAGTGGTTCCAAATCCTAATGTATAACACGTATCCTGATTAAAGCAAGAAAATTTTCTTTTGAAAATGGGGATCACGATCATGCCCGCCAATCCTCCTAGATTTATGGTAAAGTAAAATAATGCAAAGAATACTGCCACCAAATCTTCTTCTTTCGGCAATTGATATTGATCACCACCAAAAGCAGCCACACATGGTTTCATACCACCTGTTCCAACTGCTATGAGAAGCAGTCCGAATGATGTGGAAATACTAAAAAAATAGGGCTAGACATGTTTTTTTGTGAAAATTAATGCTTTTACTCACATTGGCTGTAGTCCTATAGGCGGAGTAGCTGCAAAACACATCAGAATTGTTCCGGCTAAATAAATTAAAATAAAATAGAAGATGGTTCGATATCGTCCTAGAAGGCCATCAGCTATAAGAGCTCCGATTATAGGAAAAGCATAGCTGACCAACATGAAGAGATGGTAAGTTATAGTGGCCAACTGTTCTGGCATCAATAGAACGTTTCGCAAATACAACGAAAGTATTGCTGGATATTAAAAATTACATTATCATAAAATCTAAGATTATGATCAATATTAGATATCACAATTTTGAGTGTTTTGGTCACCAGAATTTTACCTCTAAAAGTTATTGAATTTTGTAATTTCAATCTTACTTACTTCGTAATCCAGAAAACGCGAACCGTTCGAAAAATTCACATGCCACAATACAAAGTAAAGAAGGCTTAAACACATCGTTTTCTAAATCTAACATCTGAAATAAAAATCATGTGACATAGGCATATAATACAAGATAAACATAGAAATTGGCCCATCGACAATTTGCACAAATTGAAACAGATCACAAAACCATCACGAATAAAAAAATATTGTTTAGTAAAAGATCACAATTAAAAAATATTGATTATCTTAATAAATTTTAATTATTCTACTTTCAATTCAATGCATCAGAAAATAATAGCTGATAGCATTAAAACTTTATTTAAACTTTTATTTTTTGATGATATTGAAAATTGTGAATCAAATGAGACGCAAACAGCGTTGAAATGGGGAGAAGAGTGCGGCAAGGATGCTGCATATCACCGATCGTCAACGATGCACTTAAGGGGCACTTAGTGTGAAATTTCAAAAAAATCGATTTTTGTTTTTTTTCATATTTCAGCAGATTACACCTTTAAAAATAACATATTGAAATTTCAAATCGATATCTCAAATAGTTTTTGAGTCACAGCCATTTAAAGAGTATACGAGGTGTGTTCAAAAAGTACCCGGAATTACTAATAATTAAATTTCGCGGGTCTGGAGTGTCTGATTGTCAAAAAATTTTTTTTATTGTGTTGGTATACATGCCCCTAAAGTATGATGAAATTTTCAGCTATATTCACTGTTTACTTTGTCTGTGGTAGTCGCTAAGGTTCGACGTGTTTTTCTGAGCTCGGCGATTTTTACAATGGAAGAATTGAAAAGTCAAAGAATTTGTATTAAATTTTGCGTAAAAAATGAAATAAAGTGTTGCAAAGTGCAAAAATTCACCAGATATGGCTCCGTGTGACTTTTTCCTATTCCCAAAGTTGAAGAGACCCATGAAAGGACGGCGGTTTTCCTCGATTGAAGAAAATCGCTGAGAGTGCTCAAGGACATATCAAAAAGTGAATATCAAGGGTGCTTCGAAAATTGGAAAAAACGCTGGCATAAGTGTATTATATCTGGGGGGGACTACTTTGAAGGGGACCACATTAATGTAGACGAATAAATAAATATTTTTTTGAAAAAACGAAAATTCCGGGTACTTTTTGAACAGACCTCGTATATATAGTATATAGTATAACGATCATTTTATCTTTAAACGTGTTTTACTCGAAACAGCATTTTATAATTTGCTGCAGTGATTACTCAAAAACAAATGATCCAATCACTATCATTTTTTTACATGTTCTATATATAGTTAGGCGTAAAATGAACTATCGATTTTTTGATCGGATCAAAAATCGAACTTCGGCAGTCCAAAAATGACCAAAATTTTGGGTAAAATTCGACTTTTTTTTTAAACGCCGCCATTTCGTCAATTTTTGATTATTTTTTTATCTTAGTTCATTTTACAGACAATATTATCTTTGAATCTGAATTATCTGAATTTTTTTTTTTTATTTCATCCACGTAGAAGGCCGGAATCACTGCAGCAGTTAAGCGCCTTTTTTTGTCGCGCCGTTGGAGATCGACGATAACTTAAAAAATATTTAATTTTTTTCTTCAAAAATTTTACTATGTATTTTTAAAATATGTAAAAATATTTTCCTAAAATTTTGAAATGATTGATAAAGTAGTTTTTTAATATAAATTCCCAAAAATCACCTTTTTTTAGGCGGTTACACTAGTTGTGCCCCTTAAAGACACTGGACATTTTTCGATCAAAGGAGAAAAAATCACCATAATAAAATACGCCAATGATCTCGTGGTGATATCGAAAACCGAAACCGAGCTAATAAGCAGAATCGTTAAAGTTCCAGAAGATACGAAATGGAGATCAACATCGACAAATCGAAACTGATGTGAGTATCAAAACGAGATGATCATCTGAAGATAGCAGTAGGAAATCGGCAATTGGAAGACGTTGATCATTTCAAATATTTAGGAAGCATTCTGTCCAGAGATTCACAAAGAAGAGAATGCTACTGACGAGCAAACTGAGTCTTGATTTACGGAAAGACTAAAAAGTGCTGCGTCTGTAACATAGCTCTGTACGGATCGGAGATATGGACTATGAGAAAATCCGACAAGAACTATCTCGAGAGTTTTGAAATGTGGTGCTAGAGGCAATTGGAGAAGATAATGTGGACTGACAAAATAACAAATAAAGAAGTCTTGAGAAGAGAAGTCTTGAGCGAAAAAAGAACTCTACTCAGCACGATCCTGAAAAGAAAAGAAAACTGATCAGACCAGTTGCCTCCTGCATGACGTCGTCGAAGGCAAAATAGAAAGACTGAAAGGATTGGAAAGAAGAAGAATGCAGATGATTGACGACTTACGCTAGAAGAAAAAATACAGAGAACTGAGAGCCGAAGCATAGGACCAGAAAGCATGGCAGCAGAAGTTTGGAAAGAAAAATTCATAAAAACGAATATAAAGTGATGAATGAGATAATGAAATGGTAATGGGAATAATGAACAAGGGAGGGGAAGATATTTATTGACTCTGTGGTGCTCTCATATCATGGACCTGCCTTCGGGCAGACTACTAATAAAAATAAGTCGGGTTTTCCTTTCTGACAATATTAACTCCAGAACGCACAAACCGATTTCGACAATTTTGCATTTGTTGGAAAGGTCTCTGGCTTCGCAAGGTTTATTGGTAGGTTTAGTTAGTGATACATGGCATCGTGCCTTAATTCAAATTGCTGGGACTTCACGCACCGTAATTAAAAATTTGAGTAATGGCATTAGTGAGAATTATCAGAATTATGCTTGGTTAAGTCAACGAGCAATTCTTGCCGCAAAGAATAATGATGTACACGCACTGAATTTCACCATTTAATCAAAAATTGCTGGCGATTTGGTGACATAACAATGATTCTGACTGGTCTTCCGTTTGACTTCAAACGATTGCAATTTCCAGTTCGCCTTGCGTTCGCAATGACAATTAACAAGTCGCAGGACCAATCGCTTAGTGTTTGCAGGATAAATTTCAAATAGATTATTTAGAAAATCATTGTTTTTCACATGGGCAGTTATACGTTTCCTGTTCACGAGTTGGGAAACCATCCGCTTTGTTTGTGTTAATGTCAGACCAAAAAACAAAAAATGTGGTTTACCAAAGAGCACTTCAATGAAACGGATAACTTGCGGATTCACTTTCATTTTCCTAGAGAAGTTCAACTAAAATACACTTACACTGTTGTGTAATAAAATCAAATTTTTCCTTTTCAAATATAAAACATAACAAAAAATTTCTTTATCTTTCTCACTTCAAACCATCTGGTGGCGAAACGGAGTTCGTCGCGTTTGCTAGTTTATTAATATTATTAAAAATTACGAGTTTTTCTACATCTCATTACTAGTTGAATAAAAAATTGAATTTACTTCACAAAGGAAAAACCAGTCAAGAGTTGTGTTATTTAAATTTTTTTGCAACATATAAGTTTTGCTTGGTAAAACTATTATTAACTCCCCGAAGAAGTAGATGTCTTCACCAAAATTCCCGATTTGCTAATTTTATATTTTCTTATTGTTTTAAGTCATTCCGAACCATTTGACATCAACATTACAAAAAATATGTATGTGTTAACTTCAAAAACCATTTGATGAAGGATGAGGAGGATCGATGGGGATCACGTTGATTTGTTTTGGAAGAACGATCAAAGTCACAATATTATATAGACCTACGAATAGTGGCACTTATGGTAATTTGCCTCTAGGCACTATGCCATGCACCACCAATTTTATAGCCTTTCAAAATAATAGCGATTCCCCAGTGTGGATGCGGCTTTACAATTCCGATAGTTGTCCATTTTCCGTAAGATGGATATATTTTCTCATCGCACTAGTTTCAGGCGCATCCTCCTCCTTATCTATCATTTATTGACCGAAGCGAATTGACTGATAACAGTGACTCACAATCAGTCTATTTACTCCAAAGTTACACAAGCCGAGATTAAGAGTCGAAAAAATCTCGCTCGAATCCACTGATAACGTGGAATGGTGGTGGATTGCATCGGACAAATGCACCGAAGACGAGTATCGCAATTACAGGTCTGGCAGCGTTGCCAGATTAGCAAGAAAATAGCTGTCTAGAAAACAGAAGATCCAGAAAACATCAAAACATGCAGCTTGAAAAATATGAGGCTTCAAGTAAAAACTAGAACTTTAGTCAAACTTTAACCATTTTTCGATTATTGTGGCTGGTAATTTTTGTTTGTTCCTTTAAACCATAGATTCTCAAATCAATAGGACCCTTTCAGCTTAGCCATAAACATCCACTTATTCGATATCATTTTTTTCATAAATGTCTAACTGTACTGCAGTTTGTTATTAAATATTTAAAGAAACTAGTGATGCCTAGCATCGTGATTGAGACAAATTGCTGGAACTTTCCGTACCAGAAACTAATTTTTTGGGAATTCATGTGAACCACTTTGGGAATCATTGATTTACTACTTTGGTTTAATAACTTTGGAGCCGTAACGTTGAATAACATTTGCTCCAAGTTTTCTAAAATTAAGATCATTTGTTACCTTCCCGTAAGATAAGTTATAGTATAGTAATCGCAAAAAAAACAAAAATGTTTATATATCTTTACGTTTCAGATTTTGGCATACCTTAGAAAAATGGATATAAATGGTGTGTGTGTGCGGAAAAATCAAAATATAAAAATCTAATTTTTCAAAAAAGTCTTTTTTTCAAAAATTTCAAAATTTCTCAAAAATTTAATTTTTTCAACATTTTTCAAAGTTTTTTTTAATATTCTAGTTTTCGGTACGGGAAGTTCTAGCAATTTCTACAAAATCCTTTACAATTATAAATCTGGGTCAACAAACAAAATGCGTTCAATAATTCAGCTTTGATTTTCCATCATTTAATTTCAAGGATATCTATGAAGTTTAACAATTAAATAAATTTGTTTACTAGCAACACGTCATATGAGTAAACAAATTCTGTTCTAATCAAACAATAAACAATGATATCTCGTTAATGTAATAATATTTTTATTAGTTAGCGCCCGCACAATAATTCCTGATAAAAACCGACGGGTCATTTGACCTCTTCATATAGAACACTACATTGAACGCATTGGTGGCACAAGAAAATTAATTCAATTTGATAGCTATTTGATTTGATAGATATTTAATTTACAAAAATGATAAATAGAACTGTAAATTTATACTTGAACCATGAATAATTTAAATTTAGCCTAATAAATATTTGTTTGCAACTTTTAGAAAAAGATCCTAATACTACATGTTAATATACATCTAATTTTCTGAATATTTATTTACTAATTGTACCCATTAACGCTTTGCCGTGTTCAACTTTCAATTTAACAAAAATGCATATTTGTTACATCTAGTCTACCAGTTTTCTTGTATTCCAGTCTACCTGTCTATATGACAATCTGTCTACCTCTCTATCTGTCTACCAGTTTACCTGTCAACCAATTTACCTGTCTACCAATTTATCTGTCAACCAATTTACCAGTCCGCCAATTCACCTGTTTACCAGTTTATCTGTCCAACAATTTATCTGTCCACCAATTACCTGTCTACCAATTTACCAGTCCACCGATTTACCTGTGAACCAATTTACCAGTTCACCAATTTAATCACCTACGTTCTACATCTCTACCAATTAACCTGCCAACTTGTTTATCTACATATTTGTCTGTCTGCATATTTGCCTATCTACCAGTTGTCTTGTCTACGGTTTTACATATCGTTTAATTTACATGTACACCAGTTTACCTATCTACCAATTTACCTGTATACCTGTTGTACGTACCTATCTATCTACCTATCTATCGTTTACCTATTTACCTGGCCACGAGTTTATCTGTCCACCAATATACTTGTCAACTTGTTTATCAGTTTACCAATTTAGCTGTCTACAATTTAGCTGTCTACCAATTTAGTTGTTGACCAATTTAGCTGTCCACCAATTTACTTGTTCAATAATTTACCTGTCTACCAATTCACCTATCAACTTGTTTATTAATCCACCATCAATTCTAAATTGTGCTTTTTTGTTTGATAAAAGATTTAATTATTTTATTTATTTATATTCCAAGTTTATGTTTGGTTCAGTTTTTACTTTTTTTCCTTTGTATCATTCAAAATTGAGGATCCACTGGTGATGACAGTATTTTATGTCGAAACGTATGAAATAATAAAGATGATTTAGATTCTTCACCTTTTACTTTTTTATATATGTATATTTATATCTACAAACTTTTATAGAACAATTCAAAATGATCAAGAAACCGTAAAATTTAAAAATAGAATAACAAAATCTATCCCATATAGCTTCGATCTATTTTAATAATCGTCGCCGCCTATGTCGATCTTGGTATTCCGATCCCAGACAAAATATGTTATTGATCAATCTGACCAGACAATGGGACTTAGTCATTGTTTATAACAATTTAAAAATATTTAGTAACAATAAGGTCAATACGGCGACGGCATAGGATTCTTATCACGAGAAACAGTTAAAGCAGCTGATTTTGAAGAGTCAGGAAAATATTAAAGGACTAGTGGTGTATGACATCAAAACAGAACAATGCTAAAAATAAA